TATACTCTCTTCGGGTCACAGTTTTAACACTGTGTCTTTGCAACTTCTATCTCACTATTTACTTATTCTAAATAATAGAATACTTCACTACTAATAATTATTTTAAAAATCATCGAAAGCATTTATCAAAAGCCCAATACATGTCACGCATCACGTTCGATTGCATTCTACTGATAAGAATCTTTGTTTATTTTCAGAAACTACCATATCCGAAATCAGTATTCTTTATCATCAGTAATGAGTTCTGCGAACGCTTTAACTACTATGGCATGCGAAGTAAGTATCGAGCTATCTCGCTCTAATATCATTCCTATTGAACTCTTATAACAATTATTTCTCGTTCAGCAATTCTCGTTTTGTACCTGAGTCGGCAACTAGGTTATGACGACGACACCGCTACCGTTATATTCCACATCTTCACTATGTTTGTGTATTTCTTATGCGTCTTTGGTGCTATCATTTCGGACAGTTGGCTTGGCAAATTCAAAACGATCTTCTATCTCTCGATCGTCTATGTTGCTGGTTCCGTGTTGGTTGCTCTTGGTGCAGTGCCACCATTGAATTTACCTGATACGGTATTTACCATGATTGGTTTGGCATTAATAGCTTTGGGTTCGGGCGGCATAAAACCGTGCGTCTCTGCATTTGGTGGCGATCAGTTTAAGATTCCCGAACAAGTGAAGCAAATGACCACCTTCTTCTCACTCTTCTACTTTTCGATTAATGCTGGTTCATTGATTTCGACTACAGTAACACCAATTTTACGCGAGGATGTGCACTGCTTTGGCGAAAAAGAGTGTTATTCATTGGCCTTTGGCGTACCGGCTATTCTAATGGCAGTTTCGATAAGTGAGTACTTTACTTAACAATCAAAATTAATTTTCTTAAAACCATTGTTTATGCCGTAGTTGTCTTCGTGTTGGGGCGACCACTTTACAAGAGCAAACCGCCAGCAGGAAATATGGTCGTGTTAGTCAGCAAAACCATTGGTGTAAGTTCACTCCAAATGTCTAATGAAGTTAGGAAAATATTATTTTGATATACTTACATTCTTTAGAACGCAATTGCTACCAAATGGCGTGAGAAGAAGACCAATCCTCGCGAACACTGGTTGGACTATGCCGATAAGAAATATGACCGTCAATTGATCGAAGATGTCAAAGTGTTGATGCGTGTTCTTGTACTCTATTTGCCTTTGCCCATTTTCTGGGCGCTCTTCGATYAGCAGGGTTCACGTTGGACCATTCAAGCAACGCGTATGGATGGCGATATGGGCTCATGGAATATAAAACCTGATCAAATGCAACTGATAAATCCTTTCTTAATTCTGGCTTTCATTCCTCTTTATGAACTCGCTTTCTATCCTCTGCTTGCTTTCATCGGCATTCGTCGTCCATTGCAAAAGTTAACACTAGGTGGCATTTTTGCGGGCATAGCTTTCATTGTTTCCGGTCTTGTGGAGCTAAGCCTTGAGGTAATTGAGGTTATGTTAATAAATACTTTATCTCAATGAAATATATTTCTATAGGACACCTATCCTATTCTGCCAACAGCTGGAAATGCGCAGCTTCGTGTCTACAATGGCGAAAACTGTGACTATGCCATCACCTCTAATTTGACCGGTTTAAATTTCGACATTGCTTCGCTCGACATGTTTGTGAACCGCAGCATCAATATTGACTCAAGGAATCATCTGTATGTCGAATTTGAGTTCACCGAGAAAGCCGGTCTAAACTGCTTTGCATTTCCAAAGCAGACCTTTGTTTTCGATACAACAACAGCACATTATTTGTTTTTGAATTCGAAAAACACCACACATCCGTTAATATGGGGGAAAGACACTATAAGCAAACCCAGTCGCGGTTATCCGTTTGTACGTACTTTAGCAAACGTTCAGGCAGGTCGGCAAATTGAGTGGAGAACTAAGAAAGGCTCCATCGAGCACACAGAACCCGCCAATCTGCGCAACGAAACCGAGCTGAAGTCTGGTGACTATGATGTTTTGGTCGATAACACACTAGCTGGCTCGGAGTATCTCAAAGTTGGTGGCAGATACACAGTTATAATAAACGAAGAAACGTCCGGTGTTTATAAGAGTAACACCGTTATTGTAACGGAACCGAATTCGATGTCTATTTTCTGGTTGATTCCCCAATACGTAATTATGACACTCGGCGAGGTTATGTTCTCTGTGACTGGCCTAGAGTTTTCATACGCGCAAGCGCCGTTAACAATGAAATCGGTACTGCAAGCATGTTGGCTACTTACAGTTGCCTTCGGTAATGTGATCGTCGTGATTATCGCCGAATTGAAACTCTTCGATTCACAAGCCGACGAGTTCTTCCTCTTCGCTGGCCTTATGTTTGTCGATATGATCATCTTTATGTTTGTTGCCTACGCATACAAACCAAATAATTCGTCCCCACACAGCGAGGCTGAACCATTGACGCCGGCGGAAACAAACGAGAAGGTTGGCATTGACAATGTGGCCAAAACGATCGACGAGTAAGCTGAATAACTTTATGTTGAGTGGTACAAGTAAATATGTAATTTAGTATTAATTAATACGAGTATTGGTTTTGTACTTAAAGAGTTAAGTTAAAGCATAGAAAAACAAGACGTAAATATTTTATAATAGTAGCTGTATATAATAATAACTAAAACAATCCAAATAAATTCCATTAACTTTTTAATTTGGTGTTCATATTCCAAAGATCTAAGGACCTTAAATGCGTTTGTGATAAGATATTGCGTCGTCGAAAAAGTCTTTTCGTATTTTGTTAATACATGTCGTTCCAGTCGTATATGTCCGGAGCTACCAATCGCATTGTGTCATACCATATAGTGTTGGAAAGGTGAGATTTTAAGCTTCATTTAAATAAAAATTTAAATTCGGGAAAGTTGGAAGCAAGTTACAGATCTTCAAAAATGAGTGAAAATAATGAAGAAATTCGCTATATTTTGAAATTTTTATATAAAAAAGGGAAGAACGCCATGCAAGCCGCCAATGAAGTTTGTGAAGTTTACGGAGTCGATGCTGTATCAGTTCGTGGAGCACAACAATGGTTCCCTCGCAATGTGAAAGATGCACCTCGCTCAGGTCGACCTATCGTTGAAAAAGTCGATAAAATTATAGACCGATACATAACCTTACGAGCTTAACATTAAAAAGGAAACTTTCTTCTATATTTTACTTTCAACAAGAAAAAACGGTCACAACTATTACTGAAAGTGCTTCGTCCTCCATCAGGACAACGGTAGATCACACACATCTTTGTTGACTCGGCAAAAACTGAGAGAGCTTTGCTGGGAAGTTTGAATGCGTCTACCATACAGCTCTGACTTTGCACCATCAGACAACGATTTGTTTCGGTCAATGCAAAACTCCCTTAACGGAGTAAAGTTAGCTTCAAGAGAAGCCTATGAAAATTAATTGTCGCAGTTTTTCGCTGAGAAACCAGAAAAGTTTTACACTGATGGAAAAATTTCTCTAGCGGAAAAATGGTCGACCAAAATGGTACATACTTGGTACATTAAAGTTCATTATAAAAAAAAAAAAATTTGTTGAATTTGAATAAATTGATTCTGCGGTGAAAAGTGTGGAATTATAATTTTTTATTCTAATTAAAAATATGATGTATTAATTATTTATTTTTCCGTGCACACAAAATGAATTTCACATATTTAAAAATTATTCAAACATAATTATAAAATATAAATATTTTTGTACAGTACCCCGCCAACCCATTCGAAACAGGGTAAATATATGGAAACATTTACTAATAACATTCTTAGAAAGTTTGCTAGGCGAAAAATTTAAATTTTTTCCACTGCCTAAGCATTAAGTAGACTGTGCACTTGTGTGTGTACCTACTTCACTTGGAGTTAGCATTTGTGATACATGAGTTATCAGAGACAAATTGAGTGGCGTACTGGAAGGAACCGAATTTTTTTGTAAGTGTTTGACTTTTATTTCAAAGATTCCAGAGTTTTATTTATTATTTAAGTATTTGTTTTAAGTTTTCTGAAGCATTATAATATAAGCAATAAAAAATGTACTTTTTAGGAAATGGGTAAAAAATCGGACATTTTAAAGAAACCCCAAAGTGCTATTGCATGCTCTTTTAAAAGATAAAAGTACATCCTACAGAAAAGTAATAAAAAAAAAAAAAAAATTGGAATGACCAAGCGAATGAAAAGTGAGTAAGGGTCGAACTTCATCAGAACTACACAAAGGTGGATTGAAACAAAGTAAACAAAAGTTATGAAGTCCCCCGAAAGTCCCCATTCAAAGTTATGCTGCTTTTTAACATGACTTTCTCCTTAACAGAAATTAGCTTTAGCGACGAAGTCCGGCTAGAAGCAGTGATAGAAGCCATTCAATTTGTGCGCCGTGGATAGTATGTCCGTTATATGGAGAACTACATTCAGAAAACGGTAAATTATCCCCCCTATGTAGTGATTTAGAGGTGTATATTGGTTGAAGGTCCTGGATCAATTTATTTTGTTGAGGGAACGATGACTAGTGAGCAGTACACCAATGTACTTCAAGATGGTCTTGTACCATATTTGACAACACTGAACCCTTCAGCCGCCCAGTACACTTATACGCACGCTGAGGTCCCTTGCCACATCTCCCGACGAACGACTGATATTCTTCCCAACTTGGATATCAATATATTACCTTAGGCGGGCAATTCAACCGAAGTTCCTTAAATCGAAGGTATATTCCCGAAAAAATCTCACAACAGCCCCACTCAAAGATAACATAAAGGATGTGTGTGGATGTGTGAAAAATAATGATGATATTTGTTTGAATAGTATGCCTCAAATAGTGAGAGCTGTTAATAAAAACAAAAGTTTGCCAACCAAATACTAAAAAAAAATTAAGTTTTTTTTCAATTTTATAAAAAAAATGATATTTCAAATAAGTATTATAAAACTTTTGGTTTATTTGACTCTGAACGCAAAACTATATGAATAATTGTCCCTGTTTCTAATGGGTTGGCGGGGTACTGTATGTTTATTATATTCAAGACAAATTTGGTATCATACTTAATATCATAAATATATATATTTGTATTAGTGGAAGACTACACAAACGTTAATACTTATAGTATTTAGCGAGAGACTACTTTCACTTAGATTATTTGTAAGCAATTTTGCCTGAGAACGAAGCTCAGCTTCGGCAATTGTGACGCCTTTACATAATACATTACGGAAACAAATACGAAACAAAACACATTACAGCTAAGAATACATTAAACCTAACTACAATAATTACGCGGATACACCCAAAATTCCTAATTCGATTCAAAAAAGCCAAGGCTTTAGTATACTCGAAAACTGAAACAAAAAAACACAAAAGGTACGATACAATAAAGTCCTATGTGAGCAAAATTAAACCTTATCACAAACAAATATCGCATAAAGTAATTAAGTAAATATGTAGTGGGACTATAAAACATGTCGCTGGTAAACAAGGTCGTTGTTGCCGGCCGAACTTTGACTATATGAGCGGAGAGCCACAGCATTTAACAGTTGCATTAGCTGGCGACGGCGATGGAAGCAACGACGCGCTGGATGGTCATGTGACAGTCTCCGTTTCCACGTAACCATTGTGGATGTAGCCGGTGGAAGGGTTGCCCATCAAGCTCGACTTGCCCAGTCCGTTGGCGATGGTAGGTGGCTGTTCGCTGGAATCCAAGATGCGCTCGAATACCGCATCCAGACGACAATGGCTGACTGTGTAGTGCAGGCGATTTTCATATTGCTTCGACAGCGTGTTCAATTCACGGAAAAGATCGGCCAAACTTAACACTTTGTTGCTCTGTGGTGGCACCATTGCCTCCACATCATGCTGTTGAGCAAAAAACAACAAAGATTGAAGGTTACAATCATGTGATCTATGTATGCTTAGAGTGCTTACCTCACGCGGCTTGACTGTTTGGATTTTGAGGCTAAACTTTATGGAATGCGGGTAAGTCTGGAAGTCCACGCACTGCGGCAGACGCATATGTATGGCCTGTAAGTAGTAAGTAGGTATTAAATGAACACGATTTCTTTTCATTTGCGGCGACTTACCTTCTCTACCGATTCGATCAATTGGTTGTCGCCATAAATTACGACATTGTAGTAACCGCCGTACTGCTTGTTCAAACTCTCCGGACTGCTGCAGGTCAGGATTTGACCGTCCTTGAGCACGGCGATACGATGGCAGATTCCATCGATCTCCGATACCGAGTGCGAAGTGAGCACAACCGCGCGTTGTGTAGCGAGTAGATCGTGTATGGTGCGATAAACAATGGCGCGCGTGACCGGGTCCATGTCGCTGGTGGGCTCATCCATTAGCACGACTGTGGTGCGACCGCAACAAGTGAGCGCCACTGTCAGCTTACGACGATTGCCGCCACTCAAATTCTTAACCAACACGTGACGGTACGACTTCAGTTGGAATGACTCCAGTACGTGTTCTATTAGCTGTCAAAAATAAGCCAGAAATTCAAATAAAAATTTGTCAAAATACAGTCTTCTATTTTTGTTTATTATAAATAAATTTAAGTGTTTCATACTTTAAAATTTCAAAATTTATCAAGGCAAATTTCTCTGAACTTATTTCCTGAAACTCATCCTCCCATAAGAAAAAGCACAAGCCAGCTAAATACAGTAGTAGTAGCATCGTCAATAGAAAAGAAAGCATCAGCCAACACACCAAAGCAAATAAGGAAAGGCAGTCAAGGGAAATAATGAACATGGCCAATTGCTGTAAGGATTGTGATAGATTGCAGCCGCGGTCATCGGGCAGCGCACCGGTGCGACCCGAGTTCCAGCAGCCCACCATGTACGATCACTTTCAGAATTTTCAACGCTTCAAAATGCAAAAACAAGAGGCGCAGGCCATTGAAAAGCGCAAGGAAGAGCTGCTCAAAATGAACACCAACTTCACAAATTGGAATCCCAGTTGCAGCAAAGAGATGTTCGATCAGTTCAGCACACAAGATGTGGCGTTGTTTCGTCAGCAAATTCGTTTGGCACAAAATGGAGAGCGTTCGATATTGGAGAGCCTCACAGCGCCAACTGAGGGTGGCGCTTCAAGCATTGGTGGCACTGCTACGGTCGCAGGTACTGGTACCGGCACTGGTACAAGCGTCGGCGACAAGTCGCTGAAGAAGAAGGATTCGCTGTTAACGATCTCACGTACACCCGTACAGTGTCCCATTGGTGCTTGTGGTCGAACTATTGGCGTGACCTCGGTGTTGTCGCATTACCTGCGTGATCACAGCGAAGACTTTGGTGTGCAGTGTCAAGAGATTTATGGCGGGAAGCGCTCAGTGTTGATTTTCGATGCCACTACTTTGGATTTTCGTGATAATGTGTGTTTGGGTGTGCTCGCCTACGGAGGCGTCAAGGAGAAGTGGTAAGTAGACTACAATTAATGCAATTATTTTAGCGTGTGTAGTGGTTTTTCATTCCGCTTTCCGACTTTAGTACAAATCCGCCCGCTCAGCGTGGTATTTGCATACACAACGCCTTCCTGCCAAAGCCACATGAGCATCTTGACGCACATTTGCCCATACTGATAATGGCTTGCCGCACGTCTTGGAGTGCTATGCTGAAGGATAAGCAACTCGAAGCTAGAATAACGAAGCCAGAGGACTCGAATCAACACCTACTCGTGATTTGGCTGGTGAGCGTGCAGTCCACCAAGCCAATTCATTGCACTCTGACCGCCTACGATAGGACGATGACTTCGTCGCGCAGCGTTATCGCCCAAGTGCGTCAGCTCAACGAATCCCAAAACCCTAGTGAATTTCTAGTTAACGATGCAAACAGTTTACGGCTGAGTAATGGCGAAATCAATATACTTTCACATGATGGCAACGATTGCGTTCACCTGGAGGTTATGATCAATGAATACGATCAATAAAATTTTTTCCTGAATTTTCGCAAAGATGCAAGAAATGATAGTAAATGTGTGCTTCTTTTATGTACTCGTATATCTCATAGTGATATAAATATGTATGTACTGTGTTTTCATTTAACCTCACTTAATTTTTTTTTGCATCGGTCACGACTAGAAGCGTGTATCTACCCGAGACAGAAACGAATAACTTCTTACCTTGTCCATATTAGCGACGCGCCGCAGATTCCCGTAGAACCGAATGCATTCCTCGACAGTCAGCAGGGAGTCCAGCGGATTTGTTTGCGGACAATAGGCTATCTCGCCCTAAAAATACAAATGGTTGTTAGTAGGACTTGATGTTGTTGCCATGGTGTACTTACGTTGAAGTAATTGATGGCGCCCACATTCGGCTGCAGCTCGCCAGAGAGCATCTTGAATATCGTGGACTTGCCGGTGCCGTTCTTGCCTAATAAGCCGAAACATTCACCGGCTCTCACTGCGAATGTGACATTCTTCACAACATACTGTCCGCGATCGTAAGACTTGCAGAGGTTGTCTACTTTCAGTACTTGTGGTGTCTCATCTTTATCGGCGCGTTTAAGCGAGTTCTGTATGGATACGATTTTTAATTCCTCCGCCTGCTTCTCAGCATATTTTTGGTAGATAGGCAGACGATTTACTAACGTTTTTCCCCATTTATAAATCTTACCGGTCTCCAGCAAAACATTCAGAATGATGAAGAAAACACCGACTATGAATAGCGCCAGCATATGTGGACGGAGTAAATCACTCGAAACTGGGTGTTTGTAGGAATCGATATCGTATCGTTGGAAGACGAGTGAGACCATATAATTTTTGCAGATTTCAAGTAAACCGTCGCCTAAAGCGTGTTGCGGAAAAATGAGGAAGGCACGGTTAAGGAAATAGCGCCAATCGTCCCATACTTCCGAGTCACCGATTACACCCAGCAGTATGATATTGGCCATGGTGAAGAGTGGAATTATGATATTCATACAGAATATGGTCACAATCGCCACACTGGAGTCGTTGAAGCATTTCTCAAACACATGTACACCTGGTATGCAGGCAAATCTAGAGATTTGGGTTATATTCAATTATCCTGTAAAACCGTATTATTTCTTATAACTTACGCAAAGAGCAGTGCGAGCACGAATATACCGGAAACATTTTGACGAGCAACAAATACTGGCAATCCGAATGCGAATATGATGGCGCCACAGACCAATATGGCGATTATCATAATCTAGTAGACCAGGGGAATTAGAGTAAACACAACTGCTCTTTTGAAAAAGGTACTCACCAGAAAATCCCAAGCAAACGCTACACCCCAGTAGGTGGCTAAGTTTACACCACAAAGTTTCTGTTGCAGTTTTTCGCCTTTCACGCGTTCGTTTACTAGAAAAACGGATGATACGGCCACCACCAAACTGAATGCGATGAGTAGTATGAAGACCATGGACGAATCGCCAGCTTGACGCAAACTGTGAGAAATTATTAATAAATGAGCTCAGATTTAGAATGGCATACTTCAACTTACACTGAGGTCGTACTGAGCTCGGCGGCGCCAAGTTTCCATGGTTCATTGAAGCTTGTAATGCTGAAGTTACTATCGTCCATCTCTACTTGCAGCAAGCGCGTATTCAAATCGTTCAGCCAAGCCATCATAGCATGATAGCCTTTGTTGTTGTACCAAACGATAGCATTCGTATCATTGAAGGAGTAGCCACCATAGCGTTTCTCATGATAATCATTCATTGATTGCAAGATCCAATAGAAGGCCGTGCTTGAATTTCTAAACTCCCGACATGGGCTCTCAGCGGAGCACTGCTCGGCCAAGCCTTCATAAGCCGCATTCGTGAGTGTTTTGTTCAGTTCCATGCTGAACATTTGCATTGTTTTCGGATATAGTTCGCGAGTGAAACTAATTGTTGTATCGTAGTCGTCTTCCAAACGATATGTGACGAACCACATGGCGAACAACTCGAATAGCGCAGGTAATACGATGACGCAAAGGAGAATACGATAATTTCTGCTAAAGTGAACGATGCGTTTGTGTAATAAATTCTGAACGGCTGTGAGCACACCTAACGAGCCACTATTCACTATATTAGCCACTGTCGAGTTTTTCAATTCAACCTTCTTCATGTTAAACCTTGTGTTTACACCCTTGCTGGCGTTTTCCTTGTCCTCGTGCAAGTCCGCGAATATTTGTTCTAAATTGCGACTTTCAACGCGTAAGTTGGCAATAAGTCCACCGTTCTGTAAGTTTTCCAGGTAATCTAGGTAAGCCAGTGATTTGCTGGAGCCGCCTTGATCGTAAGGTACTTGCAGACGAATGTCACCACTATCTAACCAATCGGGTTCTTTGAAGCTGGAGAGCATATCTTTACCCATAGTGCGGATTTCAGTTATAGTTTGGCTATCGCTGCAATGGAAGAGTACCTCAAAGCCGGATGTGCAGTATTCTTTTAGAGTTTCTGGGCTATGTTTCACTATGATTTTGCCCTGCCGAAGAGAATTTCCAGTTTTAGTTTGAATTTACCTAAAAACTTAAGCATACTTACGTTCTTCATGATAACCATCACATCACTTAGAAACTCCGCTTCGTCCAAGAAGTGTGTAGCAAAAACAACGGCACGTCCTTTTCTCAAGCGTTGTATCAGTTCCCAGATATCTTTGCGTGCTTTAGAGTCGACACCATTGCATGGCTCGTCCAGAATCACAACGTTAGGTGAACCTGGGAGAGGTTTGTTTTGAGAAACAGTGACATAAATGCATACTCTTTGTCTTACCAATAAAGGCCAGAGCGACGCAAAGTCTACGCTGGTAACCGCCCGACAGTTGATAGGCCTGATAATTCTCATATTTTCCGAATTTCAAGCTTTTCAGTGTTTTATCCACCTCCGAGTTATAGTTGTGTTTCAGTTTGATAGACGCATACAGTTCCAAGTGTTCGCGCGCTGTTAGATTTGGTATTAAAATATTGTCTTGAGAGCATACGCCCACCTTATCGTATTCATCGCTACTTGTCATTGCCTGTGAGAGTATAACACGCCCCGTCGATTGCACCACTTGACCCGTAAGCATTTTGCTGAGGAAGCGCAAAAGGTAAAGGTTAAGAGATCAAAAAAATAAATCAAATTGACTCCTTACATAATTGTGCTCTTTCCTGCACCATTGCGTCCCAGCAGACATGTGATCTTATCCCGGGACAACGACAGATTCACATCGCTCACGGCCACTTGCTCACCATACAACTTGCTCACGTTTGTCAGCGTTGCACCAACACTTGCATCCAAATCATCGCGCTGCACTTCAATGAATCGATACTCATCTGCTTTTGAAAAATGGGGATTACTCAAACAATCTATATTGCGAAGTTCAAAACAGCTTACCATCCATGAAATGTCGCACCAAGTAACCGATAGCGCCATAAATTATCGCATCCACAATCATCATAATGAATGCGAATCCAAATTCGCCACGCATACCTTCTTGGAAGACTTGCACAAAGCTCAAACCGATCTCTTGTAACTCCATGCGCATAATATGGCTCCAACCATGTGAGAATGCCGTTGTGAATGACAAGTTAATGCAGAAGTTCTCGAACGAATTGAGGTGAGAGTCAAAGAGCAGCACAATGATGTAGGGACAGTAGGAGATAAAGAAGAGCAGTGCCGTGGCCACGGCACCGATTGTGGCCGACGTGAAGAAAGTTGAGCACATATAGCTTGAAATAAAATAAAGAAGGTCATAATCTCTTTGGCCTAATACTTGAAAACTGAAGAAGAAAACCTTCATATGAGAATGAAAATGTACCTCCTGAAGATCGAGAGTATTTATAGAAACAGAAACTCACCAAAAGGATATCAAAGATGCACCAAATACAAACAAGAAAAACATGACGAATATAAATGAGACAAACTTCAGCAGACCACCAATGTAGAGGATAAACGTTACGCCCACAAAAATTACAATGAGTTCCACAAATGTAACAATAATCCAAGAAGTGAGTTCCGAACACGGCTTCAGGCCCATGGAACGCATGATCTGCAAATAAAAATTAGAAAAGTGAAAGTCACTAACTGTTTGAGATTAAATTGATCCATTTACCATTGTATTCCGACTCTCACGCATCCAAATTAAGTGGCGCACACAATTGGCGATTTGTGCTACCAGGCCCAAAAAGAAGGCTACTTGTATCGCTTGCGCAAGGTAAATACCCGTTTTCATGCTGCAAATATACAAAATTACATAAATAGCCTGTGTACTGAAGAGAACACTCACTCATCGTGTGTGTAAGCGGGATACGGAAATTGCTTCGTGTACATCTGCAGTCCATCCACTCCGTGCTTGCTCAGCGTGTCGGCGTTATTGCCGCCAAACACGCTAAGTAAATCGAGCAAAGCTTGGCGTCGTCTGCGAGTGTTCACCTTGAGATCATCTAGATTTACCATAGTCTCCATCGAACTGGGTCGGCGGTCATCGTTGTGTGCCTGTGGTAAACTCTCCTTCGTCGGTGTCGACCAATCGTCATCTTCATCCTCATCCTCACCAAATCCACTACCAGTCTCAATTTCAATCGAAATGGGACTGTTTGTGCTCAACTCGAAGGAGCTTTCCTCAGTGATGTTTTTATGCAACAACTTCTGGTGTCTAATGATGCCCATGTCGATGGCATTCTTTATCTGCACGAAACCACGATGGTATTTCATGTCGCGTATCATGCTGCGCGATGGACCCGGAAACCAGAAGCGGTTCTTGTTCTCAAAGGTCGGTTGTGTATTTTCGGTGTCCATATGCAGTTTGTAGGATACATCATTACCGGTTTTATTGAAATATGCTGCAGCGAAGAACAAACGCTTGTCATTCAATTCGAATGCAGTGAGTTGTAAATCCTTGGCGGTTGCCAATGGCACAAAGCGATCCACGGAAAAACATTCCAGTATGTTCTTGATGGTCCTAACAATGTCGTATACGAGCGGATCGGTCCGTATACGATTTACAACGCCAACAATTTCGTCGACGTTTATATCATCGCCGATGTAGGAGCGTACAGTTTGTGAGGTGGCCAACTTGAGCAGGCTATCAAAGCCTTTCTGAAATGGACCGTCTTCACGTAACTTGGTAACAATATCGGCGACTGCAACTGACAACCGTTTCAAACGATTCAACTCCTCGAACGTAGTGTTGGCCTGGAAAATATTGAAATTTATGCTACTAAAAAACACTTCATAATGTGGTAACTGATCATTTAGACTGTTTGTCAGTCAGAATTAGAGACTGTTCGATAGTTAAAATTAGTGTTTCAATGGGAGTCCAATTAAAAATCTTTCGACTGTTTAAAGGTTTTCACTCACATGCGTCATAATTGATAAAGTCTCCTCAGTAACAGGTGCAAATAAAATCTTGCCATGTATCAGTGGTTTCACCACGTTCCATGTCAACTTGCCCGTCGTGGTTGTTGTGATATTCAAGTAAAGTTGTTTGCAATATTTCGCTGCGAAGTAAGAACACACTCTAGGATTAGTATAAAGTATTTACTAGGCAAACACGAACTTACTGGGCATTACATTAATCTCGTCATCATTTATTTTGCTGAAGTCTTCGGTGTCATAGAGAATGTCATTAACAAGGGGTATGGTATCGGTGCTGGGGAACGGATGACCACACATAAGGTAACCAGCCTTAACGAAGGTTCTGCGATCTGGAAGGAAAATTAATAAATCGGACAATAATACGGGAATTTGAATAGGCGTATGAATTCTTTATTTTCATATACATATTATGCTCTAAATTTCGTTAAGATCATGATGTTCGAAATCGAAAGATCGTGTTTTGTTTAGTAAAGAGGATGTGTTTGGATTACAGAAATATCTTCAAAATGGTAATTACATATGTTCTAATCGAAGTGCAAAGCTTTTAATTACCTGAAAAGAGTCGATTTATATCGAACGTGCCATTTAGGAAATCCTCCACTTGGGGCACCAGGTTGATAACACTGCCGACGCTTTCTGCAAGTAGTGGCGACAAAACAAACATATGCATGCGTTAATACTCGTAATTAATATTTGCGATTTGTTGTTACTTTAAAGATTAAATTCCTTAATTAGCACACAACTTCACGCTCCCTGCCTTAAGGGCAGGCATAGGCGACAAAAGCTTTCTGAAGTGCTTGTTCAGTGTGGTTTTAGCGATAAAATTAATTAAAGGTGCATAAACATTTAATTGGTTTTTGGAGTTCGCATGCATGTGCGTGAGTACTTACGTCGTATCTGGTTGAAATGGCCGCCCGTGACCACAGCCGTTACGGCATTTATGAAATTCGCCTTTTCCGGCAAATCGATGACAGCGTTAAACATGCGATCGTCGGTGACAAATATATTCACGATATCAACAATTGGCTTCATGCTGAAATAATTAATGCCACAAAATGTCAGACACAAGTAGTCACTTAATTTCTATATACACAATGTGTAAGTATGTATGAATAAAATATGCTTGAGCAAAAGATGTGTGTAAGAACTAACAAAGGTGCAGCTTAGTTGCTTTCGAACAGGCATTAATCACGCACCCAGTGTTAACGAACTTCTTCAATATGAAGCGTCAAATGGAATATAAGTCGGCCTTTGTCTCATTTACACCCTTTTGGGTCTCTATAAGTACTTTTTCCAGATTTATATCGATTACTTACGGTGCATTCTGCCAACTCGTTGTCTCTTCGTATGGCGTCGTCTTCATACAATTATTTTCCAAACTACAGATGTAAGAGTAGAAACTTGGTAGAACCTGATTTTTGGTGGGCAGCAAACGCGTGGGAAATTGGCAGTCTTCTATGTGTTCGGGACCGAACTTGAGACGTATGAGGTAGAGCAGCATAAACACCAGACAAGGCCAAACCACTTGCACAACCGTCATAACCTGGTGGGGTGTGAAGTCAAATACTAGTTACTGATATTATATTGGTTTTGTGCTGCTTTGACTAGCTTACCGGTTGACGCAGTCGCACAAGGCCGTCCTTGCGCAGCATCGCCCGTAGCTGGCTGGCGCTGAAGGACCGTTTCAATTGCATTTTCTTTCTTTTTGACGTTCGATATCTCACAATTTCGGCAGCATCGGCAATTATATTTGACGATTTGAACCAAAGTTATGCAATAACTGTTATTTCTCTGATTTTTCGGCACTCTTAAAACAAGAAATATAGAATAGAATAAAACACAGATGAAAATAAGCTAAGTTGTGTAGTGTATGAATAGCGCTTACTTTCTCAATAAACATACAATTTGTCTGAACACTTATCGCAAAACTCAGGTTCTCTCTGATAACCCCGTTTGGGAACCAGTTTGAAGTAACCTCGACCCTTCCCACGATTACTTATTAAACATTTACAATGTAATATGTATATAAATATAATTTATTTGTTTTTTTTTCTATTGTAGATTTATTTTACCACTAGGTTCACAATTATCTTTTTCATCTACTATTATCACTAAACGTAACACACTATATTATGTCATGCTTTGTAAACAAAATGATCATTGGCACTTATTTTTCATTATGCTCAAAGTGCCATTGTTTTTAATGTGTTAAAATAATTTTATTTAAAAAGTATTGGTTCTTCATTATATATTTATACTAGCGGATCCGGCCACGCGTTGCTGTGGTATACATTTTATACTTTTATTCACATAATAAACTATTCAATACCGTGAAAATTTTATTTCCGAATAAAAGCAAAGACGTTTTTGTCGGTATAATAATCCAAGGGATTGTACTTGAGATTTATTTTTGAATATGTTCATACAACTAAATTTCATTGGAAAAAATCCATCCATCCAGCGTCCATTTAATAGAACTTCCACTGCGTTTTTTTATTTATGAATTGTTTTTACTATCATATCTTCTAATTTGGTTCGAACTGGACACAGTGTGCTAAATTTGTCTAAATCGGTTTAGTAGTTTAGGAGTCCATCGCGGACAGTCGACGTGACACGTACTATTTAGTCTCCTGCAGTATATGTACCTATACATATGTACATATGTATATGAATTTGAATTGCCATCATGTCGAACGCGATACATTTTAACTAAGAAAAATTATCAACAAAAAAATTTTTTTATTTTATTTTGGGTGGAAGATTTATTAATAGCTTTTAAAAGCCCTGTCTTTCAGTGCTATGATTGATTTTGGAACAATTTTCACTTTAAAGATAAATGTAAAAAACTGAGTCATTGCACGGGACAAAGATTGGACGTGGTTTTTGCGAGCAATAACTCAAACGCCGATTTCAGAGAATTCTGAGGCAAATTTCAAATATTCATTTCAGAACATTATGCATTAATTAATTTAAAAATTATATGAATTACACTAAACGTAATTGGTAATATTTTTATACTCTTGCAACATGTTGCTACAGAGTATGATAGCTTTGTTCAACTCACAGTGGTATGTATGATACATAAATTTTCAGGATGACAAGCGGAGTTGCAATCCGGGTGACTGTCTGTCTGTCCGTCCGTCGGTGCAAGCTGTAACTTCAGTAAAAATTGAGATGAAACTTGATATGTGGGTTCCTTGATACAAAAAAAAATTCGAGTTCGTAGATGGGCGTAATCGGAGCACTGCCGAGCCCCCAAATCGCCATTAACCGAAACATATTAAGTTCAATAAACGAGTATTAAATTATGACATAAAATTGCAATTTGGTACAGTAGCAAGGTAGATAAAAAATTTTGGAAAAGTGGGCGTGCCCACGCCCTCAAAATGTTTAATGTACATATCTCCTAAACCAGTTAAGCTACAACAACCAAATTTTAATTCATCTTACATTCTTATGTCACAGTGTGAAAATGGACAAAATCGGACCACGCCTGCTGCTTATATAGCACAGGTTTTAATTCCAATTGGTTCGTTCAGTTTCCGGTACACAAATCAAGAAGTAATTAATACAACGAGATAAAACGCTCGATAAAAAGCGCGAATAATTTGACTAATGTGTGCCACCTAATAATAAAATATTGTTTAAGTCCAATAAAAACAGGAACAGGAAAGACTTTTGATTCCATAAGCTCCCATATACTTAATATAAAGATTTTCGAAATTCGTGGTAACTTTGTAGCGCTTATATCGACCAATATGTGAGTTATCCCAATGAAAATATAAGAGCGTGTATTACTGTTTTACTCATAACAGTATATCCTTGTGCCTAAAATAGATAAATTTGTGCGAAAACCTGACTTACCCCTCATGTAGTCCTTTTGGTCCAATTATGGATTAATTACATAAATTGTTTATTAAATCTTATAGTCCAGTAAAAATGAGTTTTATTTTGTTTGCTCCACGTGATTGTAGGTTGATTTTAACCAAATGTATTGTCAGTTGAATATTAATTGAGATATTCGTTAAATTGCTCCATTGTGCGAGAAGAATTATTGACTGAATTACTCGAATTGACTTGTCTAATCTGCGTACAATTAAGGTGATTACATAAATCTCCATTCCGTTAAAGTTTAATATTTTCACTCGATCAATGTTTTGTTTTATGTTCGGATGGCATTTGCTTAACATTTTCGATATTTTTAATTGCCGATTCGATGCATATTCTGATAATATTAAGGCAATTAGCTTTCTTCTAACTCACAGCAGAGCCATATGAGTATTTAATAGCTCTGAAATTAGTAATATGTGCTAAGCCATTTCATTAGAGAAATCATTTGACTTGTAGAGCATTGCCCCCTAATTGTAAATATGTCTCCCTTATCGGAGCGAAGAGATTAAGAGATGCCCAACTCTCCTGTTACAGGAAATGTGAGAAACGCTCACCTACCCAACTTTGACAGTAGACTGGATCTGGTAGGTTTTGACATTTTGCGATTGGAATGACTCGAACGACTTATACCAAAAAGAGCTAGTAGGTTTAATTCACCTTATTAAGTATTGAAAATTCTAAAGTCAGTTGTTTTAATATAGCATAAAATCATAAAACAAAATTTAGATAGCTTCGCGGTATATTAGAGTCCAATAGAAAATTATTTTTAAGTGTAGTAAATGTTGGGTGTTTTAAATTAAATGTCAAAAATCATTACTTTTGCCGATCTGGCTGCAATGGAAAATCTTATATATAAAACGTTTATTTTGAGGCGCTCTCACACTGGAATATAAGTTGGGCATCCCTTTATCCCTGGCGGTTGTTTGGACGTATGCAAATCGTTTGCATGCTTGTTTGTGAACATGCAAAGGCCATTAAAATTATAACTGTTAAAATAGCTTTGAATGCATGTTGAATGGAGCAGAAAAGTTAGCGCGCTTAATCACAAAACTAGAACACAATATTTTATAAACAATGATAATGGCATCAATTTGCTACAGTTTAAAATGTTGACTAATTGTGAATAAGTATTGCTTTTACTTGTGGATACGGAAGTGCGAAATTTATTGTAGTGATGTAGTGATACCAATAATAAATATTATATATTGTCTAGTCCGTGGAGAAAACAACACTTTTAAATTAGTTGTCATGGCTTTGTGTGGTTTAATTAGAATAGAAGTCATATTATTTGCTATTTTTGGTTAAAATATTGTGTTATATTTCCGAAACTTTCTTTAAATGTTCTTTTTTTAAGTTAAATTTTTTATATACAAAAAACACAAAAAATTACTTAAGATGCACCGAAAGTATAATACTCTTCACAGGTGCATTTCTTATAGCATAAGAACTATATCTTGAACATTGACTAATTCTTGATTCACAATTTGGATAAATCGAATCAGCTTGCCACACTGATCATTTATATACTTCATAAGGTCTCCGAACTTTTCTTATTTTTTTTCCAGGTTCAAATCGGATAATTAAACAAAAAATAATTTCTTCATACGTTTCATGTTTACAAAGGGTGATCCATTTCGAAGTTAAAGAAAAAATACAGAAATTTCAAATTTAGGAGGAAATGTTTATTTTCATTTTTTTGCATTTATTTTTTTTTTTTTATCTCTTTCAAATGTTGTCCGCGGCTACGTCTCAGATGATTCATCCATTGAGCCCAATCTTCGATGACTCCTTCAAGCGTTTCGACTGATAGATGGCGAAGGACACGCGTTATGTTTTTTTTTCAAGGCCTGAATCGAAGCGGGATTGTCCAGATAGACCTTAGACTTTGCATGTCACAATAGGAAAAGTCTAACGGCGTGATATCACACGATCTTAGTGACCAATCGACCGGCCCAAAACGTGAAATTATCTGCGATGTGTGGGAAGTGGCGCCGTTTTGTTGAACACAAATGTTGCCGAGGTCATGAGCATCAATTTCAGTCGTCAAATAATCGGTTATCATGGCGCGATAATGATCGCCATTGACGGCTACGCTCCCACCGGTATCATTTTTGAAGAAATATCAACAATGATTCCAACGGCCTAAAAAATACACCAAAGCGTTGTATGTTGTTTGTATTTTGTATGCTTTCAATTTAAGATCTCAATGTAAAATACCCCAAGTCGTTCCATATGTTAGTTCGAGTTGCTGTGAACGGTGCCGAATAAAGTCTCCACAGTCTTCGTGTACACTCTCAGCTACGGTTGCTATATTTTCTTCACTGCGTACTGTCTACTAGGTCGAGTATTATCCAATAATGAATGGTGTGCCTCAAGATGGGAATAAGAAGGTCAGTATTCCGATTATGTTGAGCGATGTGCGCGAAACATATTCTTTATAGGACGTGAATTTTCGTAATAAAGTTTAAAGATTTGTAAATGTTTTTCAGACGTACGTCTTTACAAGATGAAATGCCAAAGAATACGGAATAAAACTAATATGACAACTTGACACGGCCTACGCGTGATGTGTCAAAAAAGGCTATTGAAAAAAGCAGCGTTGCTTGCATCATCCGTTATTATTGCATTAAAAAATGTATCTTTCGAGTTTGTAAATTCTAATCAAAGTAGTATGAACTTTTTTGGTTCATCTGGTTTTCTTATTCAGAATTAGATTAAAGTTGAGATTTGCTGGACGATTTATAACCAGGTTTTTTTGAATTTCGAAGCCCATTTGTCCTCTGCCTACTTTCGGTACACAAATACTTAAGTACATGAAGAAATAGAGTATTTGAAACACTGTTCTAACATCTTCAAAGAGTTTGGGATATTTTTAAGTATATGATAAAGCAAAATCATTAGCCCATCTGGTTTGTG